TTTTAACCCTAATACTGCAGCCTGATTGTTTCCCACAAACACCCATACCTCTATAATCTATCAGTTTAAATTCTTAGACAAGTCATCAGTTACCCTCTTAATCGAATTGGCTAATGCAACCACTCCGTCACCAGAGAGATGAACTCCATCCCTTGCATACATATCACGTTTGCCAAAGAATAGGTCCCAGTTATCAATGAATGGGATTGCAAGTTCCTTGCAGTACCTGTCTAGCCAGCAATTTATACCAATTGCCCTAGACATCCATTCATTGCCCACTCCCTTTCTAGGCAAGATGCTACATATGACTGGGATCTCCCCCTTAGACCTAACTACTTCTATGGCTGACCTGTACCTATCCAGCAGCTCCTGTCTCCTGCCCTTCCCAATGTCATTACCCCCAGCACTAAGACAGATAATGGGCTTGTTCCCATTATGTGACATAATATTATCCAACCTGCTGACTATGTCACCAACACCAGCTCCAGGAAGGCACACCCTCTGTCTGACCTTTCTGTCTCTGTTACAAAAAGCACGGTCCATATATCTTACCTGAGAATCTCCTACTATTAAAATATTCTTACCTTGATTAGCAGGAGAATCAGTGGTACCTTCAAACTCACTAACCAATGAAGTGCACTCGTCCAGGAGAACAGAGAATCGATCTCCTACCTTCACATCTTCTCTGTTAACTCTCCTTATCTTCCTTCTTCCTGAACTGTGAACCACTTGCCACTTAAATCGGCTGCCACTATCACTGCTAGTGACCATTTCCTCCTTACCAGCTAAATCCTTCTTACACTCACTCCCAAACTCATCTAGGCAAAGCTTCAGCCTCCTATTTTCCTCCTGCAGAAGTAGAACCTCCTTCTTCAACACTTTAACCTGAGCTTCTAAAACACTACAACAAGCCATGGTGCTTGGTAACACCCCACGCTAACTCCCAGAGCTTAGGACAGGTATGACCGCAGGTGACCACTGACCTCAGCGTACTGGAGCGTACTAGTTTTGGAGTGGTTGATGCTATTATTTAATAAATGTATGGGAGAGGGTAAGGCACCTAGGGATTGGTAGAGAGCATGCATAGTTCCTTTGTATAAAGGCAAAGGGGATAAAAGAGAGTGCAAAAATTATAGGGGAATAAGTCTGTTGAGTATACTTGGTAAAGTGTATGGTAGAGTTATTATTGAAAGAATTAAGAGTATGACAGAGAGTAGGATAGCAGATGAGCAAGGAGGCTTTAGGAAAGGTAGAGGGTGTGTAGACCAAGTGTTTACAGTGAAACACATAGGTGAACAGAATTTAGATAAGGCTAAAGAGATTTTTGTGGCATTTATGGATTTGGAAAAGGCATATGACAGGGTGGATAGCGGGGCAATGGGGCAGATGTTGCAGTTTTTTTGAGGGTAGTGAGGCTCAGGTTAGAGTATGTAGGAGAGAGGGAGATTATTTCCCTATGAAAGTAGGCATTAGACAAGGATGTGTGATGTCACCATTATTGTTCAATATATTTATAGATGAGGTTGTAAGAGAAGTGAATGCGAGGGTCTTGGCAAGAGGTGTGGAGTTAAAAGATAAAGAATCAAACAAAGTGGGAGTTGTCAGAGTTGCTCTCTGCTGATGACACTGTGCTTTGAGATTCTGAAGAAAAGTTGGGTTGGTGGATGAATTTGATAGGGTATGTAAAAGAAGAAAATTAAAAGTGAATATAGGAAAGAGTAAGATGATGATTATAAAAAGATTAGGTGACAAAAGATTGGATATCAGATTGGAGGTAGAGAGTATGGAGGAGGTGAATGTATATGTAGGAATGGACGTGTCATCAGATGGGTCTATGAAGGATGAGGTGAATCATAGAATTGATGAGGGGTAAAGGGTGAGTGGTGCACTTAGGAGTCTGTGGAGACAAAGAACTTTGTCTGTGGAAGCAAAGAGGGGAGTGTATGAGGGTATAGTTATACCAACACTCTTATATGGGTGTGAAGCTTGGGTGATGAAGGTTGCAATGAGGAGAAGGCTGGAGGCAGTGATGTCATGTCTGAGGGCAATGTGTGGTGTGAATATAATGCAGAGAATTTGTAGTTTGGAAATTAGGAGAAGATGTGGGATTACCAAAACTATTATCCAGAGGGCAGAGGAGGGATTGTTGAGGTGGTTTGGACATGTAGAGAGAATGGAACAAAACGGAATGACTTCGAGAGTGTATAAATCTGTGGTGGAAGGAAGGCGGGGATAGGGGGTCAGCCTATGAAAGGTTGGAGGGAGGGGCTAAAAGGAGGTTTTATGTGCGAGGGGCTTGGACTTAGCAGCAAGCATGCATGAGCGTATTTGTTATGAGTGAATGGAGACAAATGGTTTTAACCCTTTGACTGTTTACGTCGTATATATACGTCTTACGCGCCACTGTTTCTGACGTATTTATATACGTAAATTCTAGCGGCTTCAAATCAAGCAGGAGAAAGCTGGTAGGCCCACATGTGAGAAAATGGGTCTGTGTGGTCAGTGTGCACCACATAAAAAAAATCCTGCAGCACGCAGTGCATAATGAGAAAAAAAATGACCTTTTTTTTTTGGAATAAAACGCCGACTTTGGAGTGTATTTTCATATAGTATTTATTGTTGTATTCTCGTTTTCATGGTCTCAGGTGATAAAATGGAAAACATATTACAGAAATAGAGATGATTTTCATTACTTTCACGATGAAAATGACCCTGAAATTGACTCAAAGTAGCAGAAATGTTTGATTTTTACCAAATTTCAGGAGTAAGCAAATTACACCACATGTCCAATACACATCAAGTGTGGAGTCTGATATTCTTTCACTAGTGCACTGATATTATTTATACCATTTTTACAATAATGCATTAGTCTGCATAACAGTAAATTTTGTATTTTTTTTTGTATGAATAAAAAATCAAAATAGAAAGCAATAGTAATATAAGAGGGGCCTAGAGACATGACTAATGAACAGGGGATATGTTATTTTAGTGCCAAGAATGTCTACATTGTGTATTCTGGACCTTATTTTGAAATTGGCATCTTTTTTAATTTGTGTGAAATTGGCCAAATTGCCAATTTCTGACCACTTTATTGGGTAGTTCAAATCGGTAAATAGGCGGTTTCTTGTACTCAACTGATAGAAAAAATGGAGTTCTAAAGAAATAGCTATGAATTTGGTCAACTGGAACAACGGAATTGGCCAAAAACAGGGCTCAAAGTCGGCGAAAATGCCGATGCGTATATGTCGCTGAGACCGCTAACTTCACGGGAGCATAATTCCGTGAGTTTTCGACCAAATTTCATACCTTTGGTGTCATTGCCATCGGGAAAAGATTCTCAATCATTTCATTAGAATTTTTTTTTTTTTTCCAAAACTTTTGCGACATAGAATGACAGTTTCAGAAAGGGGCTTGCGACAGTCAAAAGGGTAATACTTGACATGCTGTTGGAGTGTGAGCAAAGTAACATTTATGAAGGGATTCATGGAAACCGGCAGGCCGGACTTGAGTCCTGGAGATGGGAAGTACAGTGTCTGCACTCTGAAGGAGGGGTGTTAATGTTACAGTTTTATAACTAGTGTAAAGCACCCCTCTGGCAAGACAGTGATGGGGTGAATGATGATGAAAGTTTTTCTTTTTTGGGCCACCCTGCCTTTGTGGGAATCGGCCGATGTGTTAATAATAAAAAAAAAAACTGCTGAATAAACCACCATGGCCCCTAAGAAAGCTCCTAGTGCCAGGCCTATGGTAAAGAAGGCGAGAAACATGATAGAATTCAAGAAAGAACTTTTAGTAAAGTACCGAAGTGGAAGAGGAAGAGAGAGGGGAGAATGTACCTTATTCAGTGATTCTACGATATATACTCTACTAAAGTAGCACGAGTCGATAAAGGCTATAGCGCCAGCCAGCGATAAAGTATAACATTAACAGTGCAGCAAGTAAGTTAAGTAATTAATCGATTGAAAAAGGACAGCATGAACCTAATTCCTCCAATATAAGACTACTGAGAACACCACCGCCACTGCTGGCCTTCACCACAACTATGTATGGCTTATGCTCTCAGTGGCCCTTATACACCCAACAACAAAACACACCTCCACTCGTGACATACGTAATGACAATTTTTATTCATTCTAGAGTATATGTCATTTTTCTATGTTATTAATATTGTTTGTGTCATATTAGATGAATTGTGATAGATAAATAAGCCATAGAGTTGATATTAGTGTCGTATTGAAGGACTATCTTGTCCTTCCTCCAAACACACTCCCCTGCCGCTGCCACAATTCCTAACATACATAATGACATATTTTATTCATACACCAACAAGAGTCTTCAGTAAAGGCAAGTGTGATGTTATTATTGTTTTATTCTTCATGTCTTGATGTTTTTTGTGCATGTAAATCTATATTTCATGTAAAAAAAAATATTTTTTTGTTAATACTTCTGGTCTGAAACAGATTAATTGGATTTACATTATTTCTTATGGGGAAAATGGTTTCACAAATCTTCAATTTCGCCATTAGTCACACTCTCTGGAAAAGATTAATTACGAAAAACGAGGGCCCACTGTACTACTACAAATTTCCAGATCAAGAAGCAATGACAACTACAGTGCAAGATATGAAAAACTTTTATTATGTTTGACGATTTAAAAAATAAAAATAAAATTCATTCAACTTTTTTTGAGGTGTCAGGTTCAAAACCCAGTTTTTTCCCATTTGTTTTTTAATCCACATATTACATATATAATGAAGGTTTTCAGGAATATAACCTACTCTCAATATGATTTTTTCCTCAACACACCAGATGTCTCCCACCAAGGCAGGGTGACCTGTAAAAGAAGAAAAAGTTTTTCTTGTTACACTTATTAATATTAAGCAGGAGAAGGGGTTGCTAGCCCCTTGCTCCCAGCCTTTTAGTTGCCTCGTATGACATGCATGGCTTATGGAGGAAAGATTCTACTGCAACATTAAATGTAATTTACCCCCTCTTTTCAGAATGAAACGTCTTGGGTAGTTGCAACAGCAGCAGCTTTGTATTGGCGTGTAGTGGGCAGCGGTGAGCATGCAGTAGACTGCTTGAGACACACATTGCACCATGCTCCAAGACACATGAAAGATATTCCTCTTATATCTCTTGCTAACATTTTACACAGGTAAGTTATTGATTCCCTCAGTGTGGCTGGTTGCAAGAATAGTATGTTCATCTTATGAGGAGCAGACAGAGGATTGACCTCCACTAGGTCAATTTTTTTTTTTTTCAGCAACTATTGGCAGAAAGGTGGGCTAGTGCAAGTATGAATACTGGGGGGGGTTGAAGAGGGTTGGAATAGTTTTAAAAATCCAGTATTAGAATGTGGGGCAGAAGTTTGTGGCTATAGGAGGGTGGGTGCAGGAGGAAAGAGGAGTGATGGGTAGAATGATGAAGTAAAGGGTGTGATAAAAGAGAAAAAGGTAGCTTATGAGAGGTTTTTAAAAAGCAGAAGTGTTATAAGAAGAGCAGAGTATATGGAGAGTAAAAGAAAGTTGAAGATAGTGTTGAGAGAGTGTAAAAGGAGAGCAGATGATAGGGTGGGAGAGGTACTGTCTAGAAATTTTGATGAAAATAAGAAAAAAATTTGGAGTGAGATAAACAAGTTAAGAAAGCCTAGGGAACGAATGGATTTGTCAGTTAACCCTTTCAGGGTTTCCGACATACTAGTATGGCTTATGCGCCAGTGTCCATGACGTACTATTTTTTTTTTTTATTTTTATTGTCACACTGGCCGATTCCCACCAAGGCAGGGTGGCCCGAAAAAGAAAAACTTTCACCATCATTCACTCCATCACTGTCTTGCCAGAAGGGTGCTTTACACTACAGTTTTTAAACTGCAACATTAACACCCCTCCTTCAGAGTGCAGGCACTGTACTTCCCATCTCCAAGACTCAAGTCCGGCCTGCCTGTTTCCCTGAACCCCTTCATAAATGTTACTTTGCTCACACTCCAACAGCACGTCAAGTATTAAAAACCATTTGTCTCCATTCACTCCTATCAAACACGCTCACGCATGCCTGCTGGAAGTCCAAGCCCCTCGCACACAAAACCTCCTTTACCCCCTCTCTCCAACCTTTCCTAGGCCAACCCCTACCCCGCCTTCCTTCCACTACAGACTGATACACTCTTGAAGTCATTCTGTTTCGCTCCATTCTCTCTACATGTCCGAACCACCTCAACAACCCTTCCTCAGCCCTCTGGACAACAGTTTTGGTAATCCCGCACCTCCTCCTAACTTCCAAACTACGAATTCTCTGCATTATATTCACACCACACATTGCCCTCAGACATGACATCTCCACTGCCTCCAGCCTTCTCCTCGCTGCAACATTCATCACCCATGCTTCACACCCATATAAGAGCGTTGGTAAAACTATACTCTCATACATTCCCCTCTTTGCCTCCAAGGACAAAGTTCTTTGTCTCCACAGACTCCTAAGTGCACCACTCACTCTTTTCCCCTCATCAATTCTATGATTCACCTCATCTTTCATAGACCCATCCGCTGGCACGTCCACTCCCAAATATCTGAATACATTCACCTCCTCCATACTCTCTCCCTCCAATCTGATATTCAATCTTTCATCACCTAATCTTTTTGTTATCCTCATAACCTTACTCTTTCCTGTATTCACCTTTAATTTTCTTCTTTTGCACACCTTACCAAATTCATCCACCAATCTCTGCAACTTCTCTTCAGAATCTCCCAAGAGTACAGTGTCATCAGCAAAGAGCAGCTGTGACAACTCCCACTTTGTGTGTGATTCTTTATCTTTTAACTCCACGCCTCTTGCCAAGACCCTCGCATTTACTTCTCTTACAACCCTATCTATAAATATATTAAACAACCACGGTGACATCACACATCCTTGTCTAAGGCCTACTTTTACTGGGAAATAATTTCCCTCTTTCCTACATACTCTAACTTGAGCCTCACTATCCTTGTAAAAACTCTTCACTGCTTTCAGTAACCTACCTCCTACACCATACACTTGCAACATCTGCCACATTGCCCCCCTATCCACCCTGTCATACGCCTTTTCCAAATCCATAAATGCCACAAAGACCTCTTTAGCCTTATCTAAATACTGTTCACTTATATGTTTCACTGTAAACACCTGGTCCACACACCCCCTACCTTTCCTAAAGCCTCCTTGTTCATCTGCTATCCTATTCTCCGTCTTACTCTTAATTCTTTCAATAATAACTCTACCATACACTTTACCAGGTATACTCAGCAGACTTATCCCCTATAATTTTTGCACTCTCTTTTATCCCCTTTGCCTTTATACAAAGGAACTATGCATGCTCTCTGCCAATCCCTAGGTACCTTACCCTCTTCCATACATTTATTAAATAATTGCACCAACCACTCCAAAACTATATCCCCACCTGCTTTTAACATTTCTATCTTTATCCCATCAATCCCGGCTGCCTTACCCCCTTTCATTTTACCTACTGCCTCACGAACTTCTCCCACACTCACGACTGGCTCTTCCTCACTCCTACAAGATGTTATTCCTCCTTGTCCTATACACGAAATCACAGCTTCCCTATCTTCATCAACATTTAACAATTCCTCAAAATATTCCCTCCATCTTCCCAATACCTCTAACTCTCCATTTAATAACTCTCCTCTCCTATTTTTAACTGACAAATCCATTTGTTCTCTAGGCTTTCTTAACTTGTTAATCTCACTCCAAAACTTTTTCTTATTTTCAACAAAATTTGTTGATAACATCTCACCCATGCTCTCATTTGCTCTCTTTTTACATTGCTTCACCACTCTCTTAACCTCTCTCTTTTTCTCCATATACTCTTCCCTCCTTGCATCACTTCTACTTTGTAAAAACTTCTAATATGCTAACTTTTTCTCCCTTACTACTCTCTGTACATCATCATTCCACCAATCGCTCCTCTTCCCTCCCGCACCCACTTTCCTGTAACCACAAACTTCTGCTGAACACTCTAACACTACATTTTTAAACCTACCCCATACCTCTTCGACCCCATTGCCTATGCTCTCATTAGCCCATCTATCCTCCAATAGCTGTTTATATCTTACCCTAACTGCCTCCTCTTTTAGTTTATAAACCTTCACCTCTCTCTTCGTACTAGTACTAGTACTAGTACACATAAATTCTGGCGCCTTCAAATCTCGCGGGAAAAGGCTGGTAGGCCTAGGTTTGAGAGAATGGGTGTGTGTGGTTGGTGTGCGCGGTAGAAAAAAATCTGGGACCCAGTGGCGCATTGTGGGAACGCCATGTTAGTAGACCTTGTTCACCATGCCTCGCAGTAAGAAACTCCTCACTCCTCGGCGAATTGGGACACTTTTGTTCCCCAGTGACAGTTCTAATACAGATGGAAGTGCCTGTGAAGATGAGTTTCAAGGTTTTGGTGAGGTTTTGACTGAAACTAATGACCATAATATCGGTAATAGTGAGGAAAACCCAGACAACCCTCAGCCTTCCACCTCTGCTGCTGGGTCGTCTTGTTCACGTTCAGTTGTACCAGAATCAAAGAGGAAACTCCTATTTTCCCAAATACCGGACTCAGATGTGAGCATTGGAGATGATAGTGATTATGAACTACAAGCTCTTGAAACCGGTTCCAATAGTGAAAGTGAAGTGAATATTCTCCAGTGAAGCGTCAGTATATACGACGATATATGCACTCTGGTAGTGTGCCATATGCTATTCCAAGGGAAAGGAGTACATCTCGGAGTACATCCCATGGCTGTACAACAGGAACAGACAGTGAAAATGACGATGATAGTGTTGCATTTGGGATGGAAAATGTGCATGGTGGTGGTGCCGGCCGTGAGGCACCAGCAGTGAGCCATGCTGCCACCCATGCCGCTGCCTCAGCTGATCTAAAACAAAGCCCACCATCCCCCACCCACCCACCACACCAGCCTCCACAACCACAACAACCACAACCACCTGTCATTATCCAGTACCCACCAGCAGACCGCACCTGGGATTGGCAGGAAGCTGTCAATTTTGTTCCAAATCCCCACCAGTTTGATGAAAGCCAAAGTGGAATATGGCCATGTTGTACACTGGGGAACAATGCCACTGAACTGGAATGTTTCGAGTTATTCTTTGACGAACCCCTGATGGAAATTATTGTCAGGGAAAGCAACAGATACTACGAGTACACCATGGCAAACACAATACTTTCACCAAGCTCACGGCTACACAGGTGGAAGGAGACAACTATGGCTGAGATATATCTTTTCTTTGCCACAATAATGCTTATGCCACATGTGTATAAGCACAGTTTGAAATCATACTGGTCAACAGATCGCCTGATTGCAACCCCAGGTTTCAGTGATATAATGGGAGTGAATCGATTTGTGCTACTATTATGTATGCTTCACTTCTCAGACAAAACCAGGCCTGACAGAAATGACAGGTTATGTAAGATTAGGAATGTGTTTGTGTATCTGAAAGAGAAATTCAGTATGTATTTTTATCCCTTCAGGAAGCTTGTAATTGATGAGTCTTTGATTCTGTTCAAAGGAAGACTCTCTTTCAAGCAGTACATACCAAGCAAGAGGAAACGCTTTGGTATAAAGTTGTTTGTGCTTTGTGACTGTTACAGTGGTCTTGTATTGGATATTATTGTGTACACTGGAAGTTATACATTGCAAAATACCAGGAAGTTATTGGGCATCTCTGGTGATGTGGTTAGAACAATGATGGAACCATACCTTGGTAAGGGGCATATATTATATACATACTGATAACTGGTACACAAGCCCCTCACTCAGTGATTTTTTGCGAGTGAACACGACAGATGTGTGTGGCACAGTGCGTGCAAATCGTAAGCATATGCCCAGGTTTGACGCTGGCACTCGTAGAGGTGAGGTGCAGGCGTTTGCTGCCAATGACATCATGGCATTTCGGTGGCATGACAAACGAGATGTCACTCTGTTGTCATCAGTTCACCCTAATGAAATGGCAGACACTGGCAGGCAGCATAGAGAGAGCAATGAACCCATTCTAAAACCTGCAGCTGTGATTGATTACTCTCACAATGCACTCAGTGGACAAATGTGACATGCAGATTGGGTTTGCTGATTGTGTTCGCAAGAGTTATAAGTGGTACATAAAACT